TACATTCTCGTGCTGTAATGACAAACCAAATCTCCTATTAAGTGAGAAAATTTAAGCTGTCGTTCCGGTATAATCAGGTACAGAACAGTAGGAGACAAACTAAATAATACAAATAGTCAAAAGAGATAAGAGATAAATCATGTACACGGTGACCATGAATTTGGTGACATAAGCTTTCATTAAATAATACAAAGATAAGCACATAATTTTTTCCAGGATGGACAAAAACTTCACATCTTGGTCATATATGGATACAGGGTCAACCCTCCGATGGTCCAATGAGCAACAAATCGACAACTTTAGAATGTTGAATTAACATGTAAATGTAGCGTAGTGTAAACATCATCGAAATTTCCACTAACCATAAAATATTATCATGTTGGTGGACAACTATATTACTTTTACAAAAATGTACCCACACTCTTTAGTCAGTGATACGCAAGAAGCATTTCTGTTAATCATTGGAACATTTTATTTTTAAAAAAAAATGAAAAATGGACAAAAGTGATAAATAATGCTGTGTTATGTTAATTATATAGAGCTAGAGGTCTAAATAAAATTAACCACATCTTGGTCTTAATTTGCATACATGTCCATAAAAATACGTTTCCAATATACAAAGATTCCAGTAAAATTGTTCCATAACCGATAATATATGAGAAGTCGGTAATTGAAATATTTTCTTGTCTTCTTTCAATTATAAAATCATTAGAACTTTGATGAAAATTTATTTTGACGGGTTTTTTTCTAACAGCTTTGATTACACTCAGAAATAGAAAATGATATTATTCAAAAAGTGCAAATAACAATCGACCAATTATCGTATACGGTCTGTGAGTTTATAACCTATATAGGGCCATGTGCTTTGAATATACACAAAATAGGACCATTAGCCAGACAAGGTGGAGGTGGACTGAGGAAATGTTTCAAATTGGATTACAAAGTATTATCTGTCAGTTTATTTTTGAACACACTGAAAACTAAGAGACAATGGACTATTATCTCTGTATTATATCAGCTGTCATAACCATATTCTCCTCTAACTATACCATGATCGTAGTCGACTGGTATAGTCCAGTTAGTACAGAGCTAGGTTTTTGTGCCCTAGGTTTGAGTAGGCCAGGTAACATTAGTGCTCAATATTGACCTTATATTTCACCCAAGACATTTCTGAACAAATAGTCCCACGAGATCGAACGATAAGATTTTTATGATAAATTTTTTTTATTACTTAATCATTAAGGTTATTCAATTCCATATAGTGGCTCTTCTAGTTTCAGGGTATCATGTGAGTTTCCCATTGTAATTCTGTTTCACGTAAAAAAAAGGATGACTTTATCCAATGCATAAGAGGCAACAAACCAAGTATCAAATATTTTATTTGGCCATTTATTAATTGACAGTTTGTAGTTGGAATGATATTTATCAACAAGTTTCTGTTGACTGAATTAATACAGGTTATTGTTCTTTACGTTTCAACAACTATAGTGTTGACTTGGGTTGGCTGCCGAGTTACTTATGTTAAAATAATTGAAATTGGTGAAGGTTAACATAAAGAAACATGTGTGTTCTGGATAACTCATTAGATTTTACCATAAATTTTAAATCATATGTGTAAAATATACAACTGTGTATCGTTCTTAAATATATTTTCGTGAATGAAGTTTGGCTTCAGAAGTTTGTACTTTAAATAATCTCTTGGATTACAGGCATTGATCGATTTGAAAATGTGTTTTATTGGCTTTCAGATGTAAGTTTATTCTGCATTTTATCATGGTTTAAGTTAATCTAAAATTGGTGTGGATGAAAATGAAATTCCGAGTAAAATAACGCAATTTTTAGCCGGAAGACCTGATATTGTAATTAGAGAATCTGTTGTATAATCTACGAATGTGTTCCAAGGGTTTACTATAAAACCTATTGCAAGAGGCTCAATGTTTGAACGAACAATTTGATGGTCCGAGGCATTAACCACGACATTTGTGGTCGTCTGAACTTGTTGCACAAGGAGTTGCAGGTTTGTAACATTTTGGGGGAATATCCCCCATTATTTGTTTTTGTCACCTTTGTCACCTTAAGATTTTCTGAATCGTTGCATGCAATTAGTTTAGATCCTTTCAAGACAAAGATAATAGCTGCCCTCGGCACCAGCCCCGATTTGTATGTTAGTAAAAGATTATGGACACAACTTGGGCTCTATCCCTTAATGACACAACATGCATACAAAAAACAAGTTTATTTTGACACATTATGGGATCATATTATCTAATACTGTTTGTTTAGTATATCAGGAAGAAAAGATAAAAATACAGTGTTATATAGGTCTCTTATCACTTCCTGATAATAATCAGCACCAAATACAAGGTCATTGATATTCAAAACTATATATAGAAACATCAACATTAAAATATGATAAACTAATACTCTAGGTCGTCGACAATCAAAATATTTTCTATGAAAATATCAACAACATATTATGACATTTCATGTCGAACAATTTCTTGTATTGTCATCGAGAAAAAAACTATTGGCACAAGCGTTATGTAAAAAGTTTTATATTATTATATGATGAGGGTTCTCTGTATGACGCTTTCGTACAGCCCCAAATTGTAGAAATCTTGGTTGTATTTCAGCATTGGTTGATAACACCTTTTCCAATCCATAGTTTCAAGAGCTGTCAGTCTAGGAGAAAAAGGGGGAAATGTGGATTGCTGCTAGAAAGTTGGACACAATATGTTGTATGTATCAGCATATGATAAAGTTGATGATGATAATCTTAATTTTTGAGTCTTTGAGAGCTTAAAAGAACTGAAATTCAAAATCATCCATCTACAATTGGGTATGTGGGAATGAAATAAGTATTTCATACCCAGCTGTAAATGGGTACGGATAATCCCGGCAAGATCAATGCCAAGAGGTTGGCCGAAGACCAGCTGGTAGAAAGGACCCCTTACTGTGAACCTAAGTTGTTATCTTTGTAAAATATAGTTGTTTCTTTCTATCTTTGTCTTTTATAAGTCTCAAGTCTAATAAGTCGCAAAATCTGAGGTAAAAAAAGACAATCCTCGAAGAATAAATATAAAATCAGTTTGGCATTAGTCAATAGAGTGATATTCGATTTCTCACAAAAGCAGATGTTAGATGTTGATCATTTAGTATCTAATTTTAAACAATTGCCTATGATAATGGACCACGCGTCACCACTATAGAATATTTTACTCTAGATTTTAAACCCTCCTTCACAACTCATTCACATTTGAATAAAGTAATCACGTGATAAGTTGAAGTATGGATAGATTATATATAAAAAGTAGAATAGTACAATTTTCTTTACATCTTCAACTTTAAACACAGTCTCAGGCAAGTTGTCTTATATATATTTAATTCAAACCGCTGTAACAAAATGAATGAATCAATGAATGAATGAAATTTTTATTTCTTTTTGTCTTGAACACCAGAGGTTATGGAATCTTTAATGATGGGATCATGGGACTTCTATTATTGATGTATTGTTGTATTTGTAATGTTGGGATTTCTTTCTCGAAGTTAATTTTTATGAACGATACTGTAGCTTGGATCTAAAAGTTCAAGATTGTACAGAAAACCTTATGTCACTCCAGATTGCGATTGATGTGTCTTCTGGTTTTATTGGTATTTAACTCTTTGTATTAAAAATGAGAATTTGCGCTGCAAAGAATTGCTGCAATTGTATGGAACAACATTCATTGGTTAATGTTAAACAATGTGTAGTTCAATATGTAACTCAACGGGAAGATGTACGTCAAATTGTTACATACATGGAAGAAACATACACGTATAACAACTTTGATTGTGATTGTTTTCACATAAAATTGTTCCTGCAATGGTGATCTCATTTCTAGGATGTTACTCTCTGACAAGGTTAGTCAACTGGCATTGCTAGAAAGCTACTCTAAACGATGGCCTCAAATGGTCCAAAGCATCAAGCAAGATAACCAAATTATTGTATTTGGTACGTGGTATGCTTGGTCTCATTGAATCTACTCACAATTGATATTTTAAATCGTTTGCCCCCTCTTCATTAGCTCAACCAGGTGTAGAAAATTAGGACATAAAACACCGTTTCTTTTCATGTCTTTCTTCTTTATCAGTTGCAATTCGATCCAGTTAACTTTGATGTCAAATGTTCGATATGCGGGTATAATCTGAATCAAGTTTAAGAT